TTTTGGGGCGTCAACACCTCGAATTCAAGTTTCTTAAGGAACTAGTTTGCCTAAAGTGAAATCCGACTCTAACTCCCAAACCAGGAACCCGATTCGAGCCCCGTCTTCTCCCACAAGTCTCTCGTGCCTAGGTGGACGTGTGTGCCAAGTTTCGTGCTAAACCGACGCGTTTTGGTGATTTTGGGGCGTTAACACCTCGAATTCAAGTTTCTTAAGGAACTAGTTTGCCTAAAGTGAAATCCGACTCTAACTCCCAAACCGGGAACCCGAATCGAGCCCCGTCTTCTCCACAAGTCTCTCGTGCCTAGGCGGTCGTGTGTGCCAAATTTTGTGCTAAACCGATGCCGTTTGGTGATTTTGGGGTGTTAACTCTTCGAATTCAAGTTTTTTAAGGAACTAGTTTGCCTAAAGTGAAATCCGGCTCTAACTCCCAAACCGGGAACCCGATTCGAGTCCTGTCTTCTCCCACAAGTCTCTCGTGCCTAGGCGGTCGTGTGTGCCAAGTTTCGTGCTAAATCCGGATTTAACTAGTCCCATCTTCTCCCACAAGTCTCTTAACTTAGAATGCAAAGATACATTTTATACCTGATCTTCTTGTGGTGGTGTATATGGATTCTCGTCTTCTGCAGATTCCCTAAATGCCCGGTGGCCACTCGATGTATCAGGAACCTATGTTAGTCAATGCATAATGTCTTAATCATATTTGAATTTTATACATAATCTTCAGTGAAAATTGAACTATCAAACAATTTAATTTATATGGAACCTGTCTGTTGGGATCCACACTCGCCCCCTGTGACACAAGGGCCATCATCTCAACTCTCATCTGTTGTAAATGTGTAGAGAACTCTGCTCGCAGCTCCTCCCTTAACTCATCCATTAGCTCTGCACGAACCTGCTGCGTGATCTGATCAATAGTCGATGGCTGAGGTGTTGACTGTGATGGCCCAGCACCATCTTTATACACCGCTCTCCGAGGCACAATTCTCTCGTATGTGCGACAATATCCATGTCCGTCATGACCTATCAACTCATGGAAAATGGCATTCCTAGCCTTCAAAGTCTGACCATCCTCAGGTAGCATAGAGAGTTGACGATTAAACTCATCTTGTATTGAATAAGACATACAAGTATATGCCAAATTAAGATAGTTGACACACAAAAAATAAACTTTAAATACAATCAAAGGTGTTTGGAAACTACCAAGGTCTGGATAACCTCTGGGTCATCTACTCTACGTGTCATAAGCCAAACATTCATCTTATCAATAGACTCCCCCTTACTGGTCATCTACATTTTTTTAGAAATATGAAAATTAGAATCCAAATAATTTGTAAATATACAATGTTTATTTATATACAAAAATAAAACAATAAAATGTAAACCTCATGCCGTATCTGAGAGAAAGTAGTACGCCCTGTGGCATGCGTGTCACACTTGTATCATTTTACATTCCGTATGGCATGCGTGTCACACTTACATCATTTTGCACCTTATGAGGCACGCGTGTCTCATTTGTATCATTTTACATTCCGTGTGGCATGCATGTCACACTTGCATCATTTTGCACCTTATGAGGCACGCGTGTCTCATTTGTATCATTTTACATTCCGTGTGGCATGCGTATCACACTTGCATCATTTTGCACCTTGTGAGGCACGCGTGTCTCATTTGTATCATTTTACATTCCGTGTGGCATGCGTGTCACACTTGCATCATTTTGCACCTTATGAGGCACGCGTGTCTCATTTGTATCATTTTACATTCCGTGTGGCATGCGTGTCACACTTGTATCATTTTGCATCCTATGCGGCATGCGTGTCTCATTTCCATCATTTCGCATCGGCACGTGTGCCTCATTTCCATTGGCATGTGTGCCCCATCTTCATCGGCACGTGTGCCTCATTTCGCATCGACACGTGTTCCTCATTTCCATCGGCACGTGTGCCTCATTCTCATCGGCATGCGTGCCTCATTTCCATTGGCATGCGTGTCACATTTTCATTGGCATGTGTGTCGTCATTTGCACTAGCATGCGTGCCTCATCTGCATTGTCTTACATTCCTTGCGACCTGCGTTGTCTTACTTTCATTTGCATTGTCATGCATGTTGCTAACGACATTGTACCTGTTAAGTTTGTTTTCTTTTCAGGCACGATATTGTATGTACAGTTCATTTGAGGCTGGAGCGACCAGATTAACCGCACAGGTATTCTACACGGTTTAGGAGACCTTAAATCCTTGGAAGGTGCAAAACCTTCGGCACTTTGATGTGTGCGGTTCGGTTGCATTGCCATGCATGTCTTAAGCCGCAGGTATATACACGGTCTAGGAGACCTTAAATCCTTGGAAGGTGCGAAACCTCCAGCACATTGATGTGTGCAGTTCGTTTGCATTGCCGTGTGTATCTTAAGCCGCGTGTTGTCGCGCATTCCATGCAACATGCATTTTTTACATCATTTGCATTTCAAAAAACAAACAAAACATGCATCATTAGGATTTAGTATCTATTGCATTGTAGCTTGCATACATTCATTGCATCACCTTCCATTTGCGGCTTGCACCTTTCCATGATTGAGCTTGGTCAGGTATGTGCCCATACTTTTCACGTCGAAGCATAGTTCAGTGGACCGTTCTATGTCAGACATGGCTTGTACGTGTACATGCCTTTCCTAGGCAAGATTTGGTTTGGCCCGCAGGCCATATCCATTGTAAATATCCATTTCCATTGCATTGTAGCTTGCATGCATCCATTGCATTTTCCCCAGTAGATCGCATCATACCGCATTGTCATGCATTTTGTAAATATCCATTCCATTGCATATTTGTAAATATCGCATGGTAGTTTGCATGCATTCATTGCATCACCTCCCATCTACGGCTTGCACCTTTCCATGTTGAGCTTGGTTTGATATGTGCCCATACTTTTCGTGTCGAAGCATAGTTCAGTGGACCGTTCTATGTTAGCCGTGGCTCGTATGCGTACATGCCTTTCCTAGGCAAGATTTGGTTTGGCCCGCGTGCCATATCCACTGCATCATAATTTGCATGTATTCATTACAACACCTTCCTTCTATGGCTTGCGCCTTTCCATGTCGAGCTTGGTCTGGTATGTGCCCATACTTCTCGTGTCGAAGCATAGTTTAGTGGACCGTTCTATGTTAGACGTGGCTTGTATGTGTACATGCCTTACCTAGGCAAGATTTGGTTTGGCCCGCATGCCATATCCATTGCCACCTCCCCAGCATATCCATATATATATTGCATTGTAGTGTAATTTTTGCATCCAGCATTAGGATCATTGTCCTTTCTCCAGCGGGTCGTTTCCCCACTTGTGTCAATTCCCCCCCAATACTCGTTCTTGTGTCTGTCTACGATGTTCATAGTTCAGTAGACCGTTCTATGGTAGACAGACTTGTTATCTCCATCAATCTATTTGACATAGGTGTGGTTTCGAACCACTCACGATTGGATCATGATTTAATTGTTTTGCATATAGTTTACATTGTTTCAATTGCATTACATTTTCATTTTCATTTGCATCTTCATTTGCATTGTTTTGTATATATTGCATGATCATAAGTTATGCTTAGCTTCGTGCATTGTCTTGCATTTTGCCCCCTGCCTTCGGGCGCATATCTTGTTTGTCTTGCATGTTTGTCTGAGTCTTCGGCCTTGTCAAAAATGGGTCGTCTCTAGGCTTTGACATTCACTCCCGTCATTGTTATGACTTTCGAGTTCTGTCAAAGAGGGGCAACTGTAGACACCCCATTTTTGACCGTCCTCAAGACTTGGACGTCACCATTGGAACACTTTGTGATTACCCTTGTTTGTGTTCGTTTGGAGTTCCCGGAGGTCTCGGCTACGCGCCTTGCCTCTGGATCTCCGAACTTGACTGTTTAGTATCTGGTTTTGCACCAAACACTTGTGTTTTGCCTTGGAGGGGCAGGGAATGCTTTTTGAGGCATCCCTACACACCACCGGCAGTGGCTAGAGGACACCGGCTGGTTTTTGTTGCCATCGGCACTATTTGTTGCCGGTCGGCACTCCCTTTTGCCAAAATGACATTTTTGGCCGGTCGACTACTGTGCATCTGCTTTTTCAGATATTTTATCACAGCTGTCTTGCTTTTGGCTCCCCTCCATACACGTGTATAGAGGGATCTCTCTCTTTAGAAGCTTGTCTTGTAAGCTTTACAAGACAAAAGGCTCTATAAGAGAGAGCCTTCTCTCTTGGCCTTAGGGTGAGAGACACTTGAGACACTTTAGATATTTTTAGACAGCCATTTTTAGGGTTTTGAGTTCTAGGGTTAGAAACCATACACTTTCTATCTCTATATCTTCCTCTTGTGTGTGTTAAATTGTGTTTGTGTCTTACTATTGCACACAAACACATAGTGTTTCACCTTCACTTAGCTACTGAGGTTCTAAGAGGTTGGTTTTGAAGTTTTGGAGCTGTTTTCAACCTAGAAGGAGCTGTTGGAGCACCATTGTTGAAGGGGTCTTCAAGGGTAACAATTTTGCCTCTTTATTCTCCAATCTTGCATTGTATTTCTACCTGTCTTAAAATCATTTTTGAGCTTGGTGTATAATACAAAAAAGTTCTTTTTTTTAGCCCTCGTGATTGTTTATTAAGGGTGTTTTGTGGTTTGGAGGTGTTTGACCCCTCTTAGGCCTCGAAAGGCCCCATTTTGTGCTATTTTGAGTGAGTTTCGAGACTTTGGTGTTTGGGCCTTTTCACCACTGAAATCTTGAGGGATTTCAGTGGTGGGGATGGTGCCTTGAAGTCTCCAAAAGGGGAGGGCCACCCCCTCTCCTTGTTGTCCTTGAAAGGGACCCTTTTTGGCCTCTTGAGAGAGCATCATGTTAGAGTGTGTGTTGATCATATCTTGGCTGTTTTCCATGTTTATTATGCCATGATATAACCTTGTTGTGTGTTGGTTTTGGTACACCATGCATGCTTAGCATACCTACCATGTAATGCCATGTTATTGCCTTAATATGCCTTAGGTTGTTAGCCTTTGTTCTAGCATGTTTTAAGCTTAGCCTTGTGAAGGTTTTGTACTCATTTTGCCATGTTTAAGGTCTGTCCTAGGTTGTTTGGGTCGGATTTGGCATGCTTAGTATAGCTTCTTTGCGTTCCGGCTTGTTGGCCTGAAGTGTATGAGTGTATAGCATGACATTCTTGCATTGATTTAGTGGTTTGGAACTATCCACCATGTCATTTCAGTCCCTTTTGCATGCCTATATGTTTGCCTTGGATGTCTCCTTAATGCTTTGAAAGCTTGTGTAGCATGTTCCATGTTTTGGCCATTATACATGCCTTCGAATTTGAGCCACTTAGATGCCATCTAGGGGGTCCCCTTTGCATGGTCTAGGTCTGCCTTGAACCTATTTTAAGTCCTCTTAGCCTCGTGAGGCTTGGTTGGCTTGGTCATGGTTCAAGCCCCTTTGACTTGCTTCAAGCACTTAGGCGATCTGTTGCATGTTTAGCTTGACTTGTTGCTTGGTTTGGCACCATGCTTTAACATGATTTTCAGAGCCTATGTTGCATGCTAATTGTCCATGATATCCATTTTCAAGTGTGCTTGAGAGTTGTCCAATTTGTGCCTAAGTGTTGGCCTTTAATCATGTGCATGTGTGTATGTGTTTAACCCGCATTTTATAGCACTTTGGCCACTGTTTTAGGCCTATTTAGAGTTGCCTAAATCATGTATAAGTCCATATTTTCATTAGTTTGCATTGCCTCATGTTTGCTTGTATGCTTGCATAAGTGTCTTGCCATGCCATGTTGCATCCTTAGCTTGCATGCCTAGGTTGCATTGCATCTCGCATGCATGCCTTATTCCTTGACTTGGTGATAGGAATTGGGCCTTGGTTTGTTTGTTTGGTTTGCATTTCATTTGACATGAAAGTTGCACACTTGATTCTTCGGGCCGTCATACATGGAAATGCGTGATTGGTGGTCCGAGAATCGAGACACATGCCCCTTTGAGTCACAAACATGATAGGGGGCATGATTGGTGCATACATTGCTTGAATTGTATTGCCATGCAAGTTCTGTCCTCTGCTACTGTGAGTTGCAGGTTCTGCAGGCATTCATTGCCGACCGGCAGTATACATTACCGACCGGCAATTATCCTTCTACCGATGGATCCATTTTGTGCCGGTGACCACAATTCACTGCCGGTGGTAATTCTACTCAGCCGGTGGTGATTTCCAGTATCCAGAGAAGCATCCTTGAGACTCTGGTAGTCTTCAGAGAGGCAGAGCAGGGAAAACAGAGGCAGACTATGCATGGCTGTGCACTTCCGAGCAGGACCCGAGCACGCGCTGCATCTGACTCTCCTCCCGAGGTGGTTTACTGCTTTTCCTAGCTTAATTAGTTGGTTAATTAATTAGGCAATTTGTAATATTTAATTAGCTTGCGTAGTTAATTAATTTGTATTATTTATTCGGTCCCTCCGAGCGAGGGCAAATCTGTAATAAGTGTGGGTGAGTGGTGTGTATGTCTTCCAATCCCCACTTCTTTCTTCCCTTTTATTTACCTGCTTATGATGGTAGATTAGGGCATGTTTAAATTAGCATACCTTATGCTATACATGCGTGCATCCATACATTTGTCTTGCATGCATCGGGCTCGGCGCATCATGCTAACTGCATTTGTATTTCAATTTCCAAATTGAATACGTGCATCAATTGATTATATTTCACATGCCATGCTTAGGTTAGCCGAGCCTACTCTAGCGACATTCCGTATGCGTTGCATTAGGCACTTAACATGGACTTGGATCATGCATTGATTGCTAACATGTTCCTGTTTTTGGCACGGAGTACGATGTAAGTATTTATGCTTTAGCATCTCGCATGCGTGTGAATGTTGCCATGACAGTATGTTTGCTATGCGGCTAGATGCTTATGTGTTATAAACTGTTTGAATGCCTGTGGGTGAAGGTTGGATTGTTTGAGTTGGAAAAACTCGTTGAAATCCGTGTTTTTAGCCTACTTGCAAGTAGCAAATTCCAAGGCGCTTTTCAAAACAAACGGATATGCAATGCTTGTTTCCAAATTAGGCAATCTAGTCTATACTTGTTTGCTGTGCGCATAACATAGTAATTCTAGGTTAACAATTGGAATAAGAACACACAACGTTTTCAAAAACGGATATCACGGTTAGTAGAGACCGGTCTTCGGACCGGGCGAGAGGGGGTGCTCATAGTTGACCTTCCCCAATCGTACCCTAGCTCCCGAGCCGAGACAACTCCGGTGATGACAGACATGTGGCCTTCGGCACCGAGTCAGGGTTTCCTAAATTCCCCCATAAAAAATATTTAGGTGGCGACTCTGTATCTGGCAAAGCAGTCCATGTTTGGCACTTCTTTTCAAAATCTGTTTCTCAAAACGATTTGCCAGATTTGGACTATTTGGTTCAAGATTAAGAACCGTGACACAAATCGAGTCCGAGCTATAGTGACCCCAAATGAACAGAACGGGAGCTCATCCCTCCCGGGGCGTTCGGGGGACGTCTACAGTTTCTGGCGACTCCGCTGGGGATTTAGAGAGCTTGACTCGAACTCGTGATATTCTGTTTTGATTACACTTATGTGTTTCTTTGCATTGCATGTGCATTGGTGTGCCTAGGAATACAGTGTTTGCCATCTGCCACTCCTGGACGGTTTGCCGAAGGCTTATCTTGTCAAGGCATGACCATAAGGCTGACCGGTTATGGGCTCTGACAGTATGGGAACACAAACCCCGGTTTTACCGGGGCACCCTTTTCGACCATTCGACCTAGTGCATATTCGGATCCATAGTGACCATTCCAAGTTAGGACAGGCTGCTTACCCGATGCTAGGTTGTTTGAGAAACCGCTGCGTGCGTAGTGGAACCCTAACTCCTGACAAAATAGGACAGGGAAACCCTACCCCAACATAGGGGTTTTTGGCTCTCTTTACTTGCTATGTGCTTTTAGAGTGTATTTCTACAGGGAAAGTATATATCAGTTTGCAAGATTGAGTATTAGGCCTGAGGGCATCAGTATCAGTTTATGAGAATCAGTTATCTACGGGTATCGGGTTCAGTTTTTGGGACAGTGATTTCTGGGAACAGTGATCAGCAGTAGAGTACAGTTGTTCAACTACACCAGTGTTTGATCTGTTTGGGCTGAAATATTGGTGCTCCAAGGATTTAAACCTTGGCCAAAGGAGTGCAATGTTTAACCTTAAGCACTTGGACAAAGCTCCTCTTGGTGCTGGTATTCCCTTTAAATATATATTTGAAGTATATATTTTGGCTGCACAGAGTCGTCTTCTACCTCTTGTTGCGCGTGGGCCTTCTGGTTAAAAGTTGACTTTACGCGCCACAATTTGGCCGGCGCATGTGGATCACCTAGAAGTCCGTTTTGGCCGTTCTTTCTGGGTCTGGACTCCTCTCGTCAAGATAGATCTCCTGGTATATTCAGAAGTTGATTTCGACAACTTTGAATTTTTCAGTTTACAGAAAACAGAGTTGCGGATGCTTTGTTTTGGCACAACAATGCTCTGATACCAATTTGTTGTGCCTAGGAAGCAGAAAACAATCACACACAAATACACAAGCAAGAACACATAAAGATTTACATGGTTCGACAAATCGCCTACATCCACGGGCAGCGAATTTCATTATATTTGGAACAAAGGATTACACACTCTAATAATTCTCTCTCTCTGTATTCTCTCTTCAACTCACCACACTGACCATCTCCCATTCACTAACCATTTATAAACGAGATGGAGGGTTAAAGTCTTCAATAAGCCAACCACCATCATTTATGGCAACCACCAATTAGCATTTATAGCAGCCATCATTGAAAGTCTGAGCCAATCTTCAACATTTTCTTTGTTTGTTGCAAAAGAGGAGTACAAACATCTGGAAAAAAAAAAATGAAAAAAGAGGAAACAGAAACCTAGACAGAACAAAAAAAAATCTGGACAGAACAGAAATATGGAAAAAAAAATGAAAATTGATGTGTCTTCGTTCTTCGTTTGCTGTGAAGAAACAGAAGAAAAAAATCTGGGAAAAAAAAAGAATCGAAGAGGAAGATAAATCTGGATAGAACAAAAAATGAATTTGGAAAATCTGGACAGAACACAAAATGAATCTGTCGTTCCATGCAATCACCTCATTGTCCATGCGATTGAAGCTTCTCTCCATCGCGATCTTCCACTCCTCTGTACTCGAATCCTTCTTCTTTATCTCTTCCTTTACAAGTTCATGTAACCGATCTCTACATTTCATCGCCACCTACAAAGAAATCAAACACCAATTAACACTTGTTAATGAAAAACTAAATAAAAATGACTTGCTTGAAACCTTGTTAATCAGCAGATTTAACAAAATGTGAGAGAGATCAGAGCAGATCGAGTTAGGATTTTGATCAGATTAGATCGACTTTCTTGTTCAATTTCGGATCTACAATTTGCAAGAGAGATCGAGTTTGAGTTCGGTGAAGAAAAACTAGAGCAAGAACAGATCTAACAAAATGCAAGAGAGATCAGATCAGATCGAGTATGGATTTTGATTAGATTAGATCGACTTTCTTGTTCGATTTTGGACCTGTGATTTGTGTGTGTGTGTGTGTGTGTGTGTGTGAGAGAGAGAGAGAGAGAGAGAGAGTTCAATGAAGAACAACCACATTGAGAAAGATCGAGTTTGAGTCCAATGAAGAACAACTATAGTGAGAGAGATCGATATTAATCGCGAGAGAGAAGAACAGTTCATGAGAGATTGTGATACTTTTGGTAATTGGAATGGGTGAAGTGTCTGTTAAGTAAAACAGACTTGGCTCATTAAGACCATCAACAGGCATCAAGCCTTCAAAAACGTGTTGGCTATTGAGATATACCACAGCATTTCATAGGCAACTTTTCTTGTAGTGGTTGTGCAAGAATTGTTCAATTGCATGGGTATTATTCGGTGATGCTGCATGCATTAATTGTTATATTAATTAGTGTATCAATATATTTTGCCTCCATCTGGTAAGTTGCTTTTGAGATTTTTTGGGCTAAAATAGCCACAGAAAACAAAATAGGCTTTTAGCCCAATAAGATCACATCTAACCATAATCAATACATTATTTCTCTCACAAAAAGTCAAAAAAGTCAAAAAAGCCAAAAACCCTTCCCAAACCAGGCTTTTTAGCTCTAGGTTAAAATAGCCAAAAAAACCAAAAAGTCAACCCACTTCCCAAACGAACCTTTTATGATATTATTACTAATCTCACCTATTATACAAATTATAAATATTCAAAATCTTTAAAATTATGCCATATCATCGGCTAGTACACTAATTGGTACACCAATTGATGCATATAATATTATTTGTGATTATTCGATAATCTGAAAATACAGACACGTGGTGCTAGTATGATTGGTGAAGAAGGCGGAGTATTAACTATGAACAATGCTATATGTACCAATTAGTATATTAATTAGTATACTAATTGATGATGTGGCATAATTTAAGATGTTTTTTGTATTTGTAATTTGTATAATGAGTGAGATCAATAATAATGTCATAACTAGTGTTAGTACACTAGTTATTATACTAATTGGTGCATGTAGTACCACCAATTAACTATTTATATTAAGTGATTCAGAAAAATAAAGGAACATAATAAATAGTAATTAGTGAAAGAGTATGATCACATACTATTACATAATTTTTCCAATTTACGCTAGCCAATTAGCAATCAACAAGTTAGTCCGTTTAATAACAAAATCCTTACATTAGCTAACGCCGTTTGAAATGTCATGGCAACTAAAATATTATCTAAGGCCATTGTACTCAACTAACATCTCATTATACCCACACATGCAAAACTTGCTTCATAAGTACCATATTAGGTATTATAAAAAAATTTAAAATGTGTAAATAGAAGTTTTTCATAACTTTCTATAATTGTTTCATTCTAAGCAAAAACATTCATTATTATAAGGTATAATTATAAGAATACCACTCTCATATTAAAATGTATTTTCCAAATAATTTCTTATCTGAATTATTTTTCAAAATAATACCACATCATGCACTTTCGCATTATTGGTAAGAAAGGGTAGTTCGTTATCATTTTATTATTTTATTATTTTTGTACATTACATTAATGTGTGCATGCATAGAATAAATTATTTAAAAAAAAAAAAAAAACCAAAACTAATAAAAAAGAAGAAAAGTTTGGTCAGGTAAAGTAGTGTGGTGACCGTGACCCAACAGCACCTTGATTACTTCCCTTTTAAATTGTCTTTTAATTTTGAATTTGTAAACATACAAAAATTTAAAATAAAAATAAACATTTTCTCTTCATAAATTTAAAATTCAAAGCCCTTCACCACCACAGTAAGCCCTGTCCAGGCTCATATTTCCCCTTGCTCTCACCCAGTAGAAAATGGTGGAAGGGGGTGGATGTGTGTAAAGAAACAAGAGGATGGACTGGGTGCATAAAAGGCGAGAGAATTAATGGAAGAGTTACTATGGGAGGAAGGGGTTGTAGGTAGTAGTTGGGGAAGGGATGTGGGGGGACATATTTTTAGAATGACAGCACGTGCCTAAAGTGATACCGAAGTGTCAGCCGAGGTGTCACGTGTCTTGGTCATGACACCGAGATGATTTCGGCTAGGCCGAGGTTATCTGCGGAGATATCGAAATCCGAGATGAGTGGATAAGTTACAAGAGTCCTAGAATGGGGGAAGAGTTCAGCTTGGATAAGGATAAGACTCTTAAGGAGTTTATCTCTATCTAAAAGGGAGTCCAGGATTGACATTGGGCCAGAGTCCATAGAAACTAGGCTTCTAGGGGGATCAAGTTAGTGTTGGCTATTAAAGTGAGGCACCCTCGTGGGTCAAAGGTACGCCTTTTGTATTCTGAATAGTGAGTTAAGCATTTTTGCTATCTTTGAGAGATAACTAACTTGATCGTCGGAGTACCCCCGGGTGGACGAACCACCGCCGAAGTCTTTTCTTTCTGTTGCTGGTCGTTCGGACGCAATCTATTCTGCCAATGTTCTCTAGCTGAGTACCTGTTTGGGTAGTGTGGTCAGAAATCAGCACACACAATTTGGCGCCGTCCGTGGGAACGAAAGGAGAATAGATGGCCAACGACGGACAGAAAAAGAGGGTTGGGGACGACATCCCCGCTGGGAGTGGTAAGCACTTTGATCCCAATGTGGAGGAGGGTGACTGCATTGAAAAGCCTCAGGGTAACAATAACGGAGAGAATGACGTTGGCCAAGAGGGAGACGTACCAAAAAAAGGCCAATCAAAGTGAGTATTACAACGAGAAAGACCTCCAGGTATGGAAAGATAGATGCCTGTGGAGGGACGACGAGATGAAGAGAATGGCGAACAAATTGGCGGACCCGTAATCGGTCGTCAATTTCATGATGCAGAACAACGTCATGCAGCCACCGTTCCCGCTGCAAGACACGCCGATGCCAGCGGCCAAGAAGGATGCCCAGAAATGGGGGCAGCGAACGATTCCTGCAGTCCCGCAGCATGACAGGACTAAGGGACATTCTCATCAGCCTTCACGGGAGGTTGAGCGAGGAGAGTCAATAAGGAGGGACTCTCGAAGAACACATCGCACTAAGGAAGCCTATGAACATCAGCAAGCCCAAAGAAAGGAGCTTTGTTTCGACACGACTACTGGAGGGAGATCTAAGAGGACTCACAATGACACCGGGAGCAGTGCACCAAAGAAGCTAAAGTCCGTTGATAGCCGAGCTCCTGGACAAACTAAGGAGGATTTGAGGGACTACCTCCAGAGGAGACGACACGACGCCGAGGTGACCTCCCTAGTCAAACAGAGAACGTCATTTTCGGTAGAATTGGAGAAATTTAAGGCACCGAAAAGGTTCAACATGCCGAGGTTACAAATATACGACTGTAAGTCTGACCCTAACTTTCATGTCGGCTTGTACCTGAACTCAATGGAACTATACACCGGGAACGAGCCATTGCTCTGTAAAGTGTTCCCCTCATCCTTTGGGGAAATCGCATCAAACTGGTTTCACAAGTTGCCGAAAGGAACTGTGAAAAGTTAGGAAGGCCTGGCCGAGATGTTCGTGGCCAGGTTTGTGACAAACAAACTACAGCCGTTAAGGGTGGACTCCTTGATGGCGCTGAAGATTAGTGAGGATGAAGGCCTCAAGGCTTATGCCAAGAGGTATTATGAGGTATTCAACCGAATACCAGGATGCAACCAGGAAGTGGCGGTCGTGTCTTTCAAGGATGGCTTGAACAATGACTCTCCGCTTCAAAATTCATTGGCAAAGACACTGTCAAGAAGTATGGAGGAACTCATGGCCAGAATAGAGAAGTACGCAAGAGCTGAGGAAGACACGCAGGGGACAAAGACGTCAAAGTAAGAGAAGAGAAACGACTCGCTGAAGCGAGGCCAAGGTAACAATGGATACAACAAGCAAGAGATAGGACTGAGGGCTGCACAGGCAGTCACTACCGTATTCTGGATTCCAATCTACAAACTGCAGGGAAGGATCAGGAACCAGCCATACGTCAGGACAATGGAGAAGCAAGCGAGACTGCCTCAGGCACCGGCAGCACCACCCCCGCCAGCACCACAACCGCAAGCAGGCGACCCCGAGTGATCAATGTAATTCACTCAAAGGTCAATGAGAATTAAATACGCGGGGAAACTCAAAGGGTAAAACACTTACAGCATGTGTTTCAAGTCAGGCAGAAAAGACCTAGGACAGATGAACACCAAGGGCCAGTGGTGTCCTTCACTGAAAACAACTTGGACATGGTACAGCATCCTCACAACGATGCGCTAGTAATATCCTTGGAAATTGGAGAGTGCCAGGTAAGGCGCATCCTAGTTGACCAAGGCAGCTCTTATGACATCATGTATGTTAGATGTTATAAGGAGCTCGGCCTTCACCTAGACGATTTGGAATCGTCCAATAGCCTGATGGTCGGGTTCAATGAAACGCCTACATGGCCCCTGAGAACTACAAATTTGGCGGTGCAGGCAGGCATCAGGAAATTAAACACAGAATTCACAGTCATTGACACTCCCTCACCCTACAACGCCATCTTGGGAAGACCATGGCTGTATGCAATGAGGGTTGTTCCCTCAACACTACACCAGCTGTTGTGGTTTCCAACAGAGCATGGAATAGAGGAAGTCAAAGGGGACTAGTTGCAGGCAAAGAATTGCTCCATAACAATAATGAAGGCCACCTGCAATGTGCAAGGACCAGAATCAGCAGAGATTGAAAATTAGGACAT